TCAATTCCGCCCCCCCCCCCCTCTCACCCCATGTTGCTGTTGGCTGCTGTTAAGGGGAGCAAGGCACAGGAAATATATGGTATATATAGACACACACATACACACACACACACAAATGGTATGATGTGGCAGAGTAATTAATGTATAGTGTTGAGCTACCTTGCGCAGCACCCTGCCACAGGGAGGCCAGCCGAGGCCCTGGCCCAAGCCGTTGAGGAACCACAGGGTAGAGAAGACGGCCACAGTGGATGACCAGGAGAAGACTACGTTGATGCCTCCCACCGCAAACAAGCCAATAGAGAAGAGCCAGCGGGCACTGATCTGGTCTGAAAGCACTCCACTGATGAACTTACTGATAGCGTAGGCCAAAGACTGACTGCTGGTTATCATGCCTGAGCAAGCAGAACACACAAACAACACGGTTGTGATACATAAACTTAATAAGACAGCCATGGTTCAAAATACAGGAATAAATCATTTGACGTGTTCAAGCATACCGAGATCATCCTTGTCCAGTTCAATCTCCTGCATCAGCGAAGGCATCACAAAAGAGAATGTCTTTCTGTTAAAGTAGTAAAGAGTGTAGCCAACAAACATGGCCAAAAATATAGTGCCCCGATAGTATGAGTAACTTGCTCTACCCATGACTGCAGATGTAAAAAAATAAAATTAAAAAAATCTATATATATGTTTAGATATATTTGAAAAGAGAATTCCGAGAGGAGATCAGCAGCCGGTGCCTGCCGGTGAACTTTGCTTCAGGATCTACAATGTCGGAGCAGCTGCTGTTTACAACTAAGGACTGTTTGTAATCTGTACAAGTTAATGGTCAACTCCCAAACACCAGAAATGATTTAATCTGGCCTCTTGGTGGGTATTACACGATAGGTATGTTGTTTGTTATGATCATATAATCCTCAAAAATGATTGGCACTATTCAGCACAAATTTCCGAAATTAACAATGACCTTGAAATATACTGTCGCGATATGCTTATGGAACCCTTGGACTAATGAAGTTAATAATTTACTGCCATTTTTTTTCTTTAAAAAAGCAGAAAGCAACATTTTAAAATCAAACTGCGAAAATGAACAGGACGTTGTCCTCGCTATATTCAGAATAGCGTGCATCGATTTGAACGATATCTTCAACGAATTAACTATTACTGCAATGACGTTTCCGCATCACGTGAGCCAATCACAGCGCCGCTACGCTCACTGAGGCGTGATTGCAACCGAGCAACTTTTACCGCTAAACGTACGGAAGTAAACATCATTTTTGTAGCATAAAACAACACATGCATTTGAACGTAACTTCTACATCGAAAAACACGCGGTTAATACTTAGTAGCGCCCGGTAACGTTCGCTCGCTTGCACCAAGTTACAATATTATAATAACGAACCGATGGAGACGCCCCTTTTTCAAGCCAATGATATTAAACGCACGAACTGCGCCATAACATAATGCTTTCATTTCTATCATTGAGTTGTTTCAATGGTCCGTTTTCACTTTTGCTGTCAAACCCGCCTTCCTCAGCTTCTTCTTCGCTTTTCTGAGGGGATGTTCAATTCGCGCTTCGGCATACTTGCGCTTCCTATGGGTTTGTTGTTCAAGCACGACGCGAGGCAGAAACACTACAAAAACGACAGAATAAAAAGTAAACACTGTATGTCATTGACCATTTAAAGTGTTTTTAGCTCGAAGTTTTTTTTTTTATATATAATAATAAACAGTATCTCCTTGCAGTATCTTCATCGTGTTTCTATGGCAACAGGACAACATGACGACAGAAGTTCCCTGGAACGCGCAACGGGCAGCTTTCTGGGCAACTTAGTTTTTTTTCTCGCTCTATTTTTACGGCCAGAAATATTTTACTGTTTTGACTACATCTGGACGAAGAAAAAATGGTCTGGTTTGAACAGTTTTTGTTTCCTATTGTTTTTACTCTTTTTTTGTGTGTGGTGGGGGGAGGGTGGTGGTGGTGCTTTGCTCTACATAATGCCATAGTGTAAATTGTTTTGCAAATAATGTAAGATAAATTAAGTTTGGGGGGGGGGGGTAACTATAAATTAGCTTTCAATATTACAAAAAGCACACATTATTTTACAGGACCTAATCATAGATTGAATGGTTCATGAATCGAAAATGTATACTTTTCCATGAACATCAGTGAAAACATATTACAGATAAGTTAAAATGATTTATATTTTTAAATTGACCATTGTTACATTCAACAATCAATCATGACTTGTTAGCGTGAATGGAACCAGACAGTGATAATTTTTGGAGAAATGTCAACTTTTCAGAGCGAGAGCTCAAATTTGAGAAGACAACATCGCTACCGCACACGAGCCCCCTCCTCCCAGGTGGATGAAAGCCTGTTTGAAAAGAAGACACGGGTGAGTGTGTGTCCTTTACCTTCTGCATCTGTTAAACTGTCAGGTGAGTGTTTCGTTGTTGTTTAGAGATCATCACATTCGGCCTCGAAGGCAAAGGATGTGTCGGCGCAGAAGCAGATGGGCAACACAATCCAAATTGTCACCAAAGACCTCGTACGCAATCTCAGGTAATTTAATTTAATCTGATTTCCAGCTACATTCCCAAAACATGCATGCTCGGTTCACTGAAGACTAAATTGGCCACGGGTGTGAA